TTTTTTTTTTTTTTTCCTCTTGCAATGCTTTGCTCCCGGCATCACTTCCACAACATCCATTCTTGAATTTGTGGCCAGTCCCTGAGAACAGGTGAGCCGAAAGGTGACGGACTCTAGTCATGCGCCCAACGAAACACAGACGCTCGATCACGATTGTGGGTCAAACCCTGTGGTGCGCATGACCAGGAAGGTGTTGTCACGAATGTCGGCCTCTTATGGTTTGTCGCGACGTCCAGCTTCGAGCATCGCCGATGATTCGAGAACCAGACCCTGGGGTCCCTCTTTTCTTTTTTTGCGCGAGGGCTTGTGTGAGATCCAGGATCTGCAGGTTCACGATATGCCCGAAGAAGCCTCAGAGAGAGGATCCACGAGTCCGGGACGGATCGTCTGCTGACAGGCGGGATGTGCGCAATTCTAGACTCACCTCACGCGGGAGGTGGATGCATCAGGTCGGTGTTCTGAGTGCGCTACTGTGGTTGCCCGGCCTCATCTTCCCAACCCATCACACAGACTGCGTTCACAGCCGCACGTTCATCCGGATGAGTCGAATCTGGTCACAGGATAGGCTCGGGCTACACAGCTGACGGCATTGATTCTTGGTTATCAAGACAATGCCCCCACCGGAACATGCTCGTCTTGAGGATGAAGACGTGCGCAAGGTCCGTGTGATATCGGCAACCTTCTGCGCGGACACGGGTGCGCACGACTGAGTTCACGAGGCGCCGTTTGATTTCGGCTTCTTGCTGCACGGTCGTGCGCGTTTCATATGAAGCTCCCTTTCAAGGTTCGCTGGCAGCGACTCGGGCCCTTTGCCTTCAAAAACTGGACTGTGCCTGCGCAGACAGATGCTTCCCAACAGAAGCGCCGAGGCTCAGTCGCAAGAGTGGAAGTCTGCGTGCAGGTCGGTGGATCAGCCCTTTGACACCTTCGGCAAATCCAAGGAACCAGGGCTCGAGTCGAGCGCTCAGACCCACGCTCGCTGCTCCGATGCTCCGCACGACATGCGAACCCACACGAGCCGCTGGGATGGCTCGTCGATATAAGGCAGCCCACTTGCACGCTCCAGCCAGGTCTTCGGCCTCTTCTCTCAAGCCTTCTAGATTCAACGACCCCAACCCAAGAACTCAAACCTCGCTCGAAGCCCGAGTCCTTCGTCATCGGATCGAGCCTAGGCCCAGTCTTCTCCCATCGCGGCCCACCAAGATGGAACCCGAGTTCGAGTACCGGCTGTTGTACAAGCGCGGCACTGCGCCCGTGATGAAAGGCGCCGATCTGCGTCTGGAGCTCGAGACCACGGGCGTACCGCCCGGCGGCGTTCGCTGGGAGCTGGAGACGCGCTATCGTCCGAGCAAGGTGGCGTACCGCGACGTGATGATGCAGAGCATCCTCGCCATGTGCAAGCAGCACAATGTGACGCCGCTCGAGATCCGCACTCCGCTCTCGCAGTGCAGTGGCAGCTACATCGACGTCATCTTCGCCAAGGGCGAGGACGTGATCAAGGCCTACGAGGACGAGATCACCTTTGACTTCTACGGCACGCAGCCCAAAGTGTTTGACCGCGGCATTCCCGACAGCAAGCATGTTGCAATGTGCATCCAGATGCTGCCGGCCGACACGAACCTGCAGGAGGTGCTGGAGAAGGTGAAGAGTCACCCGCGAATCCGCCAGGCGGGTAAGGTGGTCGACGTCTGGTCGATGCACCATCCCCATTCGATCACGTTTGCAGGCAGGGTGCTGGTGCTGCTCGAGCTCCACACGGAGGGCGATAGCGTGCCTCTCGGCGCGCGGGCAGCCGTGCCCGGATGGTTCGAGTACCGCGGACGCGTCTACCTTGTGCGCTTTGCGGGTCGTCCTGCATGGTGCTTCCAGTGTCGGTACAACGAAGTCGGCAATTTTCACAGCGCCAGCACTTGCCCGCGCATGAGCTGCATCGCCTGCAAGCAGACCGGACACACGTCGGTGGATTGCGCCAAGCGCCAGGAACAGGTGGCAAAGAAGAAGCTCAAGGGCAGCGACCAGGTGGGCGAGCGACGGGCGGTGACGTCGAGCGAAAGGGAGTCGATGGAGCGCCGATTCGCCGAGCTGGGTATCCGAGACCAGGAAGCGCGGGAGCTCGCGCGCGACTTTGGCGTGCTCGCGCTGTCCGAGAGCGACATCAGCGGCTAGAAGGCTAGATTCCATGCTGGCCCAGCACCGCCAGGTCCGACAAGAAGTTGAAGAGGTCATAGATCACGTCGTGACTTCCGAACGTCCATAGGCTTCCCATACACATAGTGACGCTTCGATTTGTGATGCATGGCGACGAGTTCTTAGCGCAAGGCTTCAGCGAGATTGACGAGAGAAGGTATCTGATAGCGAGCCAGGTCACACGACATCACGTGGATCACACGCAGCGCCACGCAACAGCCCGCTGATAAGTGCGAGCTAATCGGTCGTGTGACTTCGACTTCGCGCAGTATAGCCTAGCCAGTGCGATCGGGGTGATTGACAGCCAAGAAGCAGATGGAAACTCGCCGACGATGCCTAGGCAGGCTAAGCGTCCGAATCGCCCCCGCCTATGCAGAAGCGGCGCTGGAAAAAGTTTAAAGCGTCTTCGCCTGCGCGCTCTCTCGGCTGAGGAAATTTAGCTCGGCTCAGCTTCAGATCCTCATTGTCAACCCAGACAAAACCTCGTTTGAGGTGGTTGGACAGGGGTCAACCGAACTTAACCCCCAGTGGTATGCCTTCTACTACACTGGCAACCACTATGAACTTCTCTACAAGGTACCTCCTGGCTCTGCCACCTAGGGTAGACCAAGCTTCACCCACCCTCATCTGTACATAGACTGCACTTGTCCATAGGTTGTGGCCCCTCAGACTTCATCTGAGGTTTTTTCACCCAGGGTAATCCCCAGTTACCTTGGGTTTTTTCTCACAATGGAGATCTTGTTCCTACTTGACTGAACTTGCCTGAAGTTGATACCCAGTTCATCCTCTGCCAACCCTTGTACAACCTCGGTCAAACCACGGTCCAACCCACCTCAGACATGAGCATACGTATGGTTGTACCCAGGTAGCCCTGCCTTGACTGGGGTTGCTCCGGGTTCACCAAGGTTCATGAAGGTTCAACCTCAGTGCATCTGGGCCTATGCTTGGTAGACCCTGGTTGTACCATGTTCACCAAGGTTGAACCCCCCATCAAGTGGGGACAGACCTACCACAGGGTACCCTTGTACCCAGGTTGTACCCGCCTTTGATGTACCTTGGCCAGGGTTGGTCCTGGTTGACCAAAGTTGTACCCAGGTTGAACTTCGGCAAGCAAACTTTGGCGGCTCATATCTCCGCAACTGCGCTACGCAGTACCGCAGGTTTCTGCATACATACTCTTTGGAGGTTCCTTTACAAGTTTCATTAGTACAGATCTCGGGTTTCGGAGCCGTCTCCCCAGGGGACCCTTGTAACCCTAACCCTACGTGTTTCGTAGAAGAGCGAATACTCATTTTTCACACCAGCGTGGGATCGGCCGGTAGTGTGTTCGCTGATGGACTAGACCCCTGAATTTTCTAAAACAAAAGACAAAGAGGTTTGGGTCAGGTGTCTTCCGAGTGCACAATAAACAGCGCGTTATCGTACGATTAATTTGGCGCGCTCCGATACTACTCTACGCACGGCGGGTCACTGCGGGAAGGGTAGACGTACTGATCGATCTTATTACCCACAGTGGACAAGTGGAAGTACTTATACCCACCCGCCTTCCCTTCCAAGGGTGAGTGGGCCTCTGCCTGCGCTGCGTCAGTCGCTGGGCCGGCGGCTTTTCTCGCCTTCTTTCCCTGTCGTTGGACTTGCGGCGACCAACTAAGTTTGCGGAACCTTGCGACGGGATTCCCTCACCCACCTTGTGTGAGCTTGCGCTTGTTCTCGCCTGCTTTATCACAGCCTCCCGTAGCCGTCCGCGTGATTCCTTCGAAGGTGGCTAATTGACATACCGCTCGTAGTAACGCCTCTTGCATTTACTCGGCCTCTTTTGGCCAGTTCCGTAATAGATGGCATCTCCGCCATGTGCTGTAGCTTTGCTTGAGTCCTGCTGGATCGATCTTCAACCCAGCAGAAGTTGCAACCATTTAGCAAGGCTCAGCAAGACTCGAAGCAGATCGAGGAGGAGGAGGATTGGAGTTGAGTCCTGCTCGATCTTAGCGCGAGTCCTGCTCGATTTTTGCGAGTCCTGCTGAATCAGCGCGAGTACTGCTCCCGCCAAAATTCGAATCCTCCTGAAATCGCCAGTCCGTCCGAAGCTAAATTCCGTCCAGCACTACACCAGTCGAAATTCCAGTCCGTCTCAAATAGAATCGAAGACGCGACCATCCAATTTTGGCGGAAGCAGAACTCCGTCCCCCGCAAACCCATCTCACGGCATAGGTCTAGGGCTTCCTGCGGGCTTTCTGGGTGCTTTCTGCTATGTCCGACGTCCCGCGTCCCGCCTCCCACGTCCCACGTCCCACGTCCCTTTGCACAAATCGCACCGACCGTCCCTTCGGTGTGTTTTCTGCAGTCCGTTGCCAGTCCGCAAGCCAAGGCGAGTTCGCAAGCCAGCGAGCGGCACTGCATCAGCA